AGCTCTCTATTCAAGAGACAGAAGATTTAAAGTTAACTGTAAGCTGTATAGTAAGTGACAGAGCTATGGAGGAGAAAAGGAAACAAGGAAAGAGGATGAAGGGTGCAATTTTAAACGGCAGGAAAGGCCACACTTAGAAAGTGACACGTGAGCAAGACCCAAAGCATGAGGGAGGAAGAACATCCCAGGCAGAGGGACTTGGAATATTCAAAGACAGTGAGCTTGGTAAGTGGAGAGGGAGGTGAGTGGGCAGTTGTGGGTGACAAGCTCAGAGAGGTGTTACATTGGCCGTTATAGATCATTACGATGTCTCTTAGTGGCAGGAAACTACAGGGGGTTTCCAAACAGATGAGAGTCCTGAAATGACTTGTACAATTTCTCTGAGTCTGTTTTCTCACCTGGAAAGGGACTTATAACTCACAGAGTTGTAAATAAATGCTGTAATTCATATGCCTACCCTGGTACAGAGCATAGTACATGACAAAAAAAAAACAGCTGCTATAAAATGGACTGTACAGAGGAGTTGCCGAGAAATCACATAATGGATTCAGACAAACTTGGTTTTAAACTCCAGTTCTGCCACTGATTGACCACGTGAGCATGGCCAAGTTATTTAACCTCTGTGAGCTTTTATTTGCACAGTATCTTCCTAAGATGCGGACAGGGTACAGTGCTTCTTAGCACAAGGGCACACTTATAAGTACTCAAAAGAATATAACATGAAATATTTAAAAATACTTCAGTAAATGGTCAATTCTGTAAATTGGCCATTTCCTCCTTTGATTCCAATGACCTACTGGAGTTGTTAGGGGTGTAGTAAATGTTTACTGAATGAAACAATTTGTCTCTACAAAATTTTCACTGCTAATAGATTCTTTTCGGTATAAATTGGATATCATTCAAATGTGAGGCTCACCACATCTACATTTAAAGGGTCTTAAAACATGAAAAGAAGAGACTATGTTGATAAATCGTACATTTTATTCCTTCTGTTTGGTGGTGTCCTGATCACTCTGTTTCCCCATCTGTGACTAATTTGTTTAGTGATCGTGGAAGTTTGTTCTAAGTCTAGTTGTTCCGATGTTCCTTGTAGGCAAATGTTGATGTGCCATTTTCAGGTCTCCTTTTGCTTTCAGAGAAGGAAGGTGTTGTAAATAAGCCCAGGATTTGACTGAACAAAAAATTTACACCTTTGCTTTTCTGAGGTTGCTTTGTTTTTCTATAAAAGTCATGACTTCAAGTATGAGAAAATAATTTAGAAGCAAGATGAATGTTGCCAAAGAACATGAAATTCAAACATAGGAGTGAAGCAGAATGGGGCTGTTGGAATGAGCAGTGGATCTGGATAGTTGGAGTTAAATTCCCCATTTCACCAGGCTATTACTCTCTCATCTTGGGAAATTTAACTGGGATGTTAATTTCAGTTCCTGCATCTAAAATCAAGAAGATGCAAATTCCTGACCTATGGACTTATTGGAGGTGTTCTTAGGATCAAGTGAGGTAACAGACATGGGAGGGTTGGCAGCTATAAAGCCCTGTGCAAATATTATCATGGGTAGGGGTGGGGGGCGGTGAGCAAGGAGTAGCTGGAGGACGTCCTGAAGAGGGAGAAGAAAAGTATTTGACCTAAAAACCAGAAAAAGGGTAACTTTTCTGCCTGTTAGAAAGGAGCTTTGTATCTCTCATCATTCAATTAGGGAGCTCAAAATCTAGACAGGGTATCAGGAAACCTGATTTATATTCCTGGCCCTCCCATCAGTTGAATGACATTAGTAAATAACTCTTTGCAAGCAAGTGGCTGACCAGATTCCCTCTTCCTCTGCCCTTCCTTGACTCTTATTTTTTATTAAACAGTTAATTATCTTTTAAAGAGAAAAACTGAAAAACCTACATGTACATCCATTTAGATTCTGTTTCTGGTACTCTT